TTCCTCTTCCTCTTTCTCTCTCTCTCTCTCTCTCTCTCTCTCTCTCTCTCTCTCTCTCTCAGAGGCCCCCTCTGCACCTCCCCAAAGAAACCTCCCGCGTGAGCTCTGCTGAATGCTGTCTGTTGGTGTTGGGCTGAAACCTCGATGGTGAGAAATGAACCACAGAGCTCAACAAACCCACGACTGGGGTACAGGGAAGGAAGTGGGAGGAAGTGTGGACTCTCAAGAGGGGAGCAGGAAAAAAAATGACAAACAGGCAGGTGGAGCTTATTTAAATGGGGAAGCTTGCGCATGTGTACAGAGCCCAATGCAGCAACACAATGCCTGACTTAAGATGTAGGGTCCTAGGGCCCCCAGGCTGGCTAGGTGCCTGAATGCTGGCTGGTGGGCTGCCAGGGCGCAGGGTCAGTGTAATGCTGGAATCCTGAGAGTGATTTCATGGTACCTCTCGGCGCCAACCCACCAAGGTTGCCTTCTGCCACTAAACTATCGCAACACTCACACTCTCATACACAGCAAATGTAAAAAGAAAAAATTTAAAAAGCTACCCAAAAAATCACATAATAGGGAAATTTTATGTGTTCATATTTACTGATATCAAGTAAGTACTATTTACTTTGGTCAATAATATTACTTTTGTTAGATTTTAAGAGGCTATAGATGCACATCAACATATCTAGCTGAAATGATCAAGTTGACATCTGCTTCAAAATGATGTTGAAGCATGTGGAAGGCAGCTTGGTCCTGAGTGGGAGGGACAGGCCACTCAGTGAGCACAGACAATCCCTCAAGCTCCTCTGTGAAGGCTCAAAGAGGCCAAAAGTCAGAGACTTTGGGACTTGTTTTTAGTTCATTTGAGATTATTGTGCTTCAAACTCAAACAAAGGTCCGGCCTAGTTAGAAATCAGAGTTCAGCTCTCTCAAGGCTATTGTAAAGGGGTGTGTAAAGTTACCAGATCTTCTGCTCCTGAAATAGGGAAGTAGTTGGTTCCTACCCAAAACAAAAGTCTAAGGATCCAACTGAGCCCTAGTTCCCTTTATGGAAATAACTTGGGATTCCACCTAGGGAGTGGATTGCCTACAGAATGTTTGGTCTAGGGCGTGAGTCAAGGGCATGAGCGGTGAATGTACCCCCAGGACTTTCGATTTGTGTGTTAATGCAGTCCTTTTGTTCTTCTCCTACCCTTTGAAATCAGGGATATATTAACCAGTTGGGAATTAAACACAGGCGAATTTTCGGTACTCACTGAAATTCCCTCCTAATAATATTGTAATGGTCTGTCCTGTCTCTTTAAGAGACAAGCCATGCCCACTCCCTGCATGCCTTGCCTATCCATCCTGCAGCCTGGCTCCCTGCCCAGGACCAGTCGCCTTCAGGGGCCTACATGTGGTCTCGTGGCACGCCCATCTATCTGTCTCTGGACTGGCTGCTCTCTGGACCCACTGCCCACTGCTGCCACTTGGAGACCTGCAGCATTTCCACCTCTGCAGCCATCGGAGATCCAGCAGCATTTTTAATTAATCAATTACAACTATCCTATGTGTTTCTGCATTTTATTATTTTTGTTCATGTCTTCATATTCTTTACTATTATAGTTTTCATCTCTTTAAGAGACAAGCCACGCCCACTCCCGGCGACCCCTGCCCTCCTCTCACTATCTTAGATTCTCACTGTCCTCTCTTGGTGCATGCCCCCCTCTTCTCTCCCACTCTCCTTTTTCTGTCTCTCTCTCTTCCTCTTCTCCTTTCTCTCTCTCTCTCTCTTTCTCTCTCTCTCTCTCTCTAATAAATATCCAATTCTATTCTGTACTACGATGTGTCTGCCCATGTGCCTTCTACCTGCCGCCTGCTCACACCCACGGGTTCACTGGGACCAGCCACTGTTCAGGAACCGGCAGCCGTCTCTGCCTGGGACTGGCTGCTCTCAGGGCCCACTGCCTGCCTACTGCCGCTGGGGATCTTGCAGCATTTTTAACATTTACTGTATTTCTAAATTCCCACACCTTCACTCTAGAAGAAAGGTATTTTTGTTGAGGCTGGCCCCCGACACTCCTCCTTAAGATGTGTTCAGAAAGAACACCAGAATGACAATAACTGGAACCGGAAGCCACCAGGCCCTGAGCAGGTAGGGGGAGGTTGGAGGTTCCTACCTGCTAACGAAAAGCTCCCTTACATCCATGGGTGCCAGGAAATGGGCTTGAGACAAAAGGAATCCCAGAGTTATCTGGAACCTAGGACAGAACTTGGCTTCCCTGTTGCCCAGTCACACCTGCTACAGCAGCCTGGGATTTATTCTCAGGCAGTCTTGTGGCTATGTGGCCAAGGACCATGAACAAATGGCGTCAGGGAAAAAGTCTGTGTGAGAGACTCAGCGAAGCCTTTGCTCCACGCGTCAGCTCCTCCAAACCCTTGAGCTGTTCTTCGTAATCCTGTTCCCATGATGGCAACCCCGAAGCTGGAACTAGACTGAGGCCAAAGGAAGGAGCTCCTCCTGCTAGTGGGAGGAGCCTCTCCATCCCTGCTCCCCTCAAGCCCTCAAAGATCTCCTGTCTCCAGAGTGCGCGTGTGGCTGGGAACCCCAAATCCCCGACTAGGAATGTTTGGAGAACATCCATTCTCTGGCTCTCTGGGAAAGCAGCCATTGCTATCCAGAACCTTCCAGGTGTCTGGTTACCTGGAAAGTAATTATCAGCTCAGTTCTGGAGTCATCTGGCCTGTTCTAGCTGGGCAGTTTTCTAACTGATTCAGATTCAACCACGAAACCTGGGCGGTGATGGCACATGCCTTTAATCCCAGCACTCAAGAGGCAGAGGCAGGCGGATCTCTTGAGTTAGAGGCCAGCCTGGTCTATAGAACTAGTTCCAGGACAAATAGGGCTGCTGCACAGAGAAACCCTGTCTGGGGGGAGGGGAGTCAATGTCTCTTTTCAAGCAGCTGTTACCCAGCCACACAACTCTACTGGAGCTCACGCTGGTGGTGTGCAGAGGGACACACACACACACATACACACACACACACAACTCTGCTGGAGCTCACGCTGGTGGTGTGCAGAGGTACACACACACACACACAACTCTGCTGGAGCTCACCCTGGTGGTGTGCCGAGGTACACACACACACACACACACACACACAACTCTGCTGGAGCTCACGCTGGTGGTGTGCAGAGGTACACACACACACACAACTCTGCTGGAGCTCACCCTGGTGGTGTGCAGAGGTACACACACACACACACACACACACACAACTCTGCTGGAGCTCACCCTGGTGGTTTGCAGAGGTACAAACACACACACACAACTCTGCTGGAGCTCACCCTGGTGGTGTGCAGAGGTACACACACACACAACTCTGCTGGAGCTCACCCTGGTGGTGTGCAGAGGTACAAACACACACACACACACAACTCTGCTGGAGCTCACCCTGATGGTTTGCAGAGGTACACACACACACACACACACACACACAACTCTGCTGGAGCTCACCCTGGTGGTTTGCAGAGGTACAAACACACACACACACACACAACTCTGCTGGAGCTCACCCTGGTGGTGTGCAGAGGTACACACACACACAACTCTGCTGGAGCTTACCCTGGTGGTGTGCAGAGGTACACACACACACACAACTCTGCTGGAGCTCACCCTGGTGGTTTGCAGAGGTACACACACACACAACTCTACTGGAGCTCACCCTGGTGGTTTGCAGAGGTACACACACACACACACACACACAACTCTGCTGGAGCTCACCCTGGTGGTGTGCAGAGGCACACACACACACAACTCTACTGGAGCTCACCCTGGTGGTTTGCAGAGGTACACACACAGACACACACACACAACTCTGCTGGAGCTCACCCTGGTGGTGTGCAGAGGCACACACACACACAACTCTACTGGAGCTCACCCTGGTGGTTTGCAGAGGTACACACACACACACACACACACACACACAACTCTGCTGGAGCTCACCCTGGTGGTTTGCAGAGGTACACACACACACACACACACACACAACTCTGCTGGAGCTCACCCTGGTGGTTTGCAGAGGTACACACACACACACACAGTCTGTTAGTGCTGGAATGTAGACTTCAAAAAGGACTTTTAGGTGTTGGTACAATGGTTCAACCTACACCTGATGACCTGAGTTATTACTGGGGACCACATGTTGAAAGAAAGAACCAAATCCTGCTTGTTGTTCTCTGACCTCCACATGCATGCTGTAGTGTGTATGCACACACACACATAGACACACACACCACTACATATATTCCAGATGATTTTTTGTTTTGTTTCTCAAGACAGGGTTTCTCTGTGAAACAGTCCTGGCTGTCCTGGAAATCACTTTGTAGACCAGGCTGTCCTCAAATTTACAGAGATCCGCCTGCCTCTGCCTCCCAAGTACTGGGATTAAAGGCGTGCGCCACCACCACCTGGCCCACCGGATGAATTTTAAGACTCTGTGGCCTGTGATGGGGTTACTATTCTTAGCAGCAAGGGTGATGCTATCCTTCCCATTTTGCTGAGGCCATTTTGAGAACATCTTGACTGAGGAGCGGGTTCTAGACAAGGCTTGGGAGCTAATCTAGCATCCGAGTTCATGGGGCAGGGAGAGCATGGGAACTCAGGGCTAGATATGTAGCTCTGGAAAAAAATGGCAGCATTGTGGAAAAGGCAACTGCTCGAGACCTTTACAGGAAAACCCTCACACTCAGTGTGGAGCCACAGTCTGATTTATTGGCCATCAACATTGGGCTTCTCTCGCCCCCGCAGGAGACCCAGGACCAGGAGCAGGGTTGGCAGGCCACGCCTGGAGCTCGGTGAACGTGCACACACACTGAGCGAGCGAGGGCTGGAGAAGTGGAATGGAAGAGTCCAGCCATGAAGGGGCTGCAAAGCCATTAGAAATCTGCGGCTCCTCCCCTCCCCCTTCGGTCTACTGTGAGAGATGCAGGATGTCTGGTCCAATGAGGGAAGTTAGGGGCTCCGCCATCAGGCTGATGAGGACTTTGTTTTGTAGCCCTGTGGAATATCCTCTGAGGCCTTTTTCTTCGTCAGTGGCTGGCCACTTCCACTGGAGAGCTTAGGGGATGCTGTAGGCCTGAAGGGAATCCCCAGGGTGAGGCAGTATGCAATGTAGGCAGGAATGGGAATGAGGACGATGACATACAGCCCGACTGTCAGAATCAAGGCCCACATTGGGTATTGTTGAACTGTCTCTTTTGACTATGGAGAGACCATGAAAGGGTATTAACACAAAATTCCTAGGAGAGGAAGAAGAGGTGTGGGAGGGAGAGGGGAAAGGTGAAGGCTAGTGAGCCAATGGCCAGGTCCTCAGCCCACAGGGGACTGGAAGGACCAGAAGGAACCGGAAGATCTGAGAGAGGGTACACTCACAGAGCTGGAGTTCCAGGCTGTGTAGGTGAGGGGCCTTGTACCCATCTGAATGAAGACAGCTATTAACAGGCCTAGCAGCACCACTGGGGACACATAGCACCATATCCAGCCACAGATAGGGCAGATGGGGCGGCTTAGTAGCGCCATCATGTCTGCAAGGAACCTGTGGAGGGACAAGGAATATGGGCGCCAGTCCAGCTTCCCCACCTCACAATCCTGTTATTTTCTGGCAGCTCTGGCCTGCGTTATTTCAGGTCTCCTCTTCTAGTCGGTCTTCTATCCCTCTGCTGCCCAGCACCTCCCACAGGGCCCATACCCCTCTCATTCATCCTGAGATGACATCTGTGATGTGGCAAAGACCTTTCTAGGTGCTAGGTACCCAACCTAAGCCAAGCAAAGAGAATTGAGGCACCGCTAAACCTTGATGACCCAGCCTGTTTTCTTTTCGTCATAACGCTCTGGATTTGAACCAGCAGCCCTTTGGTCTGGGAGGCCAGGCTCCGAGGTCCTCTTCTCTTTTCTGCCTCTGTCTGTCCAGGCTCTGCTTCAGAGCACCTTCCCCACCACTCCTGCCTAAATTTCCATCCTCACCCTCAGTGTCTCCCCTTACTAACAGCTCTGCACCCGGCACACCCACAGGGCTGTCTGCACATCTCCTACAGACCTGGGCTTTGAGAGACCTCAATATGATGAGTTCATCCCAGCACCACAATGGTTTCTGGACAGAGATGTCCTGGCATGGGGAAACTGGCACCAATATACACAGAAAAGTCAGGCACACAGGTGTGCACAGGTGGAGATAAGAGAGTCTCAGAGGCTTGCTAGGAAGCCCGTTTAGCCAAGTCAGTGAGTTCCAGGTTCAAGAAGAGACCCTGTCTCAAAAAGTAAGTGGAGAGCGACTGAGAAAAACACCTGACATGTGTTCACATGCGCATGGGCAGGCACACAGACACCTACACACCTGACACGTGCTCACACGCGCATGGGCAGGCACACAGACACCTACACACCCACACTTGAGTCTCAATAAGTGTTTGGTGGTAGCCATGAAGATGGTTCAGTAGGTAAAGGCACCTGCTGCCCCTGGGATCCACATGGTCGGAGAAAAAACTAAACCCCACAAATGCACTGTGTTAGTCACACGTGTGCCCATAAACATACACTCACCCACAGAAGACAAATGTGGAACCATATGGGGCTGGAGAGATGGTTCAATTAAGAGCACTCATTGCTTTTGTGAAGAATCCAGGTTTGATTCCCAGCAGCCACATGGCAGCTCGCAATTGTCTATAACTCCAGTTCCAGGGCATCTGATACCCTCTTCTTGCCTGCATGAGCACCAGGCACACATGTGGTACACATATACACATACATACACACATACAGGCAAAACATTCATGCACATAAAATAATTTTAAAGTGAGTTAGTGAGGGGGAACAGACTCTAAGGACCATTTGCAAACGCCACTTCCAGCACCTTCTGCCTTGGGGCTACACCACTTGTGTGTCTTGTTAATTACTTCTTCCTGGAGAGAGGGTCTCTGTGTGGGTCACACTGGCTGTGGAGTCACCGAGATCCACCTCTCTCTGCCTCCGGAATGCTGAAATTAAAGCCTGCGCCGTCCTGCCCGCCCTGCCAAGCTTTGAGCTGCTCTCACAAAAGACCTGACACACAGAGACTTAGAGGAAGAAAGATTTACATGGCCTTGACCCTAAGGACCCGTCTTGAAGGAGAAGAAATGACCACAGAGCTGGCTCCATCCATGGTGGCTGAAATATGGAGACCAGAGCAGACTAGAGCGGGGCTGGGTGTCACTTCTACAGGCCTGCTCCAAAGAGCCTCAAAATAGCCCCACAAGACGGACACGGAATATTCAAACACTTCAGATCTGGACAGCACAGGAGAGAACCCTGGGTTGGAGGCTGACCCTGCTGCCCTGTTCCCCTCCAGTCCTGAGCTCCTGGCTCGGGCCCCTCTCCTACCACATCTTTCTTTCTTTCTTTGGTTTGGTTTTGGTTTTTTGAGGTAGGGTTTCTCTGCATAGCCCTAGCTGTCCTGGAACTCACTCTGTAGGTCAGGCTGCCTCAAACTCACAGAGATCCCCCTGCCTCTGCCTCCTTAATTCCACCATGCCTGGCTTCTCTCACCACATCACGCTAGCCCGAATCACTACTGGCTCTTACTTGTAATCTTTCACAGCTCCCAGTTCCCCTCCTTGGCTCTGCTTGGGCCTCCAGGGCCACCAGAAGTGCCTTTATAAAATATATGTATGGTGGTGCATACTGTTAGTCCTAGAGCTTGGGAAGTGGTGGCAGACAGACCCCTCTGTGAGGTCAACGTGGTCTATAGCAAGTTCTAGGACAGCCAGGAGCATATAGAGAGACCTTGACTCTAATTTGTTTTTAAGCTGATGATGGTGCTCCCTACTGAAACCATTTAGTGTTTTGTGATACACACTGCACACAAAGCTAGGTCATATCATGGTTTACAGGGTCCCATTTTCTGCCCCCAATCTTCTGATTCTATTCCAGCTTGCCTGGATCCCTTGTTCCTTCAAAGCTTCAAGCAGGATATTTCCTCTGGTGTACACACACGCAGGAACACTCACACACATACATATACATGCACACCACATACACATTAATCATGGCTCCTCCCTTATTTTACTTAGGAGTCTTCAGACACATTACCCTACCATCAAGGCCTTCTTTACTACCCGTCCGAACCACACACACTGTCTCTGGACCAATGGCCTTTGGTTTCTTGTCTTTTGTTCTGTGCGCATGGACGGGAAGAGGGAAGCTAGAGCGGGACACCAGCAGCTCCCGCTGCTGCCCTGCTCACTGAGCCTGAAGCTCTACTGTCTGGCTGTCAAGGCCCTGGTGCCCTCTGCTTTTGCCTCACGGGGCTAGAATGGGTGCCGCCATGACCACTTATGTGGGTTCTAGGAAGAGAACGCAGACTCGGATGCTCGCACACCAAGGACTTGACCTGCTGAGCCTCCTCCCAGCCTCGCTTGCCATTCATAGGCTCCGTGTCTGTCAGTGTTGCTGCCGTGTGTCTATACCACTAGAAAGTAAGGTCCTGAACAGAGTGCTAACCTGGCTTTATGCAGGGTCCCTGTCACTAACAGGCCACTGAAGCACATGAAACACACAAAACTCTGGTAAACAAACGTTCCTCAGAGGCCTTGACATTAAGGGTCCTTGTGACACTCTGGCGTGACATTAGACACAACAGGAAAGCTGTCAACCCTCCCAAAAGATCCATGCTCCTGGGGGCCTGGCACGGGCCCCCTTCACCTCTTGGCCCTGTAGGCCCAGGCTACAGCAAGGTTTTCACACAAGACGATGCTGATGATGGGCAGGACGATCCAGTATTCACTCAGCAGCCAATAGTAGTAGATGCCTGAAGATTGGATGAAGAAGAGGCCACACAGGAACATCACCACGGAAACACCCACTGGAGGAAGCATTAGGCCTGTGTCAGGATCAGAGGTCTGGGAGAAGATGGGACTAAGGGGAGATCCTAAGCCAGGGCTGGTGTTAGGGCTGCGGGAGAGCAGGGTCAAAGGTGGAAGTACCTGTAAGAATCCTTGGCTGTCTCCTGAAGAAGGGGAAGGTGTCCTGGAGCGGGGTGATGATGCCCAGCATGAACGTCACCATGGCACACAAACTCATACTCAGCAGCAGCAGAAAAAAGAGCACAGTCCAGAAGAACGACCCAGGGAGCAGAGAGATGACCTCCGTGAAGGTCAGGAACATGAAGCGGGGGCTCTCCTCAATCTGCTAGGACAGAGAAGTAAAGTGCCTTCTCCACCTCCTCTCAAGGCTCACGCAGCAGGACCCCGCCCCTGCAGTCCGGGGAACGGGTTCTGTCTACTGCGATTGCCCTGCATTTCCTACATTACCCACATTTCTCTCCGGGACTAGTGAGAGCTGCACTCTGTGGGGCAGAGCGGGCTCTCCAGCATCTCCACTGACCTTCAGAAAATGCTCCTGGATGTTGCATTCGGGCACCTTGCTGAGGACGGTGCTCCTCAAGGGTGGCGGGAGGCGGTCGAGCCAGGAATTGTAGGTGGAGGTGGGGTTTTTCGTCAGGGTAGGGGGCCGCACCTCAGGAGGTAGGATCCCCTGGGCTACCAGCATCATAAGTTTCTCTGTGTTCCTGAGGGTGGGTGAATTAGAACCGTCAGGCCCTTGGCATACTGTCCTTCCCTTGCTCATCTTACAGATGAGAGAGATCTCGAGTCCAATATTACTAACGGTTAAGGACAGCCTGCCGTGAAGTCTGGAGGATGCCCACTTTCGGGGGCCATGAAGAATGTATGCCCTTGGGGAGCCCGGACTTCATAGGGATTCGTGGGCCTAGTCTTCACCAGCTTTTCTGAGACGAGTAGGGAAAAACCTTCTAAGCCCTACACTTCTGAGAACAGGGAAGCTTCCTTCGACTGAAGCCTGAAGCGTGTGACAGTCCCAAGTTGTACTAAGTCAAAGAACTGTTGTTACCTTGACTCTGACCAGAGCCCTTGCCAAGAGCAGGGAGCAAGCTTCGTGAAAGTATGATCGTGTCCTAGAAACTAAAACAGGATGCTCTTCTGGAGACAAGAGAGCTACATACTTAGACTAATAGTCTCATTGCAAATCATTTGAGCTGAAAAATATTTTTAATCTTTTGTAATTATTTTATTTTATTTTATTTTGGTTTTTCGAGACAGGGTTTCTCTGTAGCTCTGGCTGTCCTGGAGCTCACTCTGTAGACCAGGCTAGCCTCCCCAGGGCTAGGACTAATGGTATCTAGCACCTCCCGGTTACCTATGGTTTATTTTAAAATCAGCTTTTGGTTGTTTTCCTTTGTTTACTAATTTTGTTGTCTATTTTGTTTATTTATTGCTCTTGTTTTTAATGCCCTTGCCCTCGGGGGCCAGAAAAATGACTCGGCAATTAAGAACATGTACTGTTTCTGCGCCAGCACCCATGTCTGGCAGCTCACAGCTGCCTGTAACTCCAGCTCTAGGGGATCTGATGCCCTTTGAATCTTGTGGGCACTGCACTTACATGAACTATAGTCCTGACACATAATTTAAAAAACAATAAAAATGAATCTTTTTCTCTTTTTTGAGACAGGAAAATGAAAGTGAAATTCATTCACCTCTCTGTGGTCTTGATTGGCCTAGCTTGCTATGTAGACCTGGTTTGCCTTGAACTCACTGAGAATCTCCTACTTCTGTCTCTGGTCACCCAGCCTAGCGTGCTTGGAGTCAGCCAGGGCTGTGGTGGTGATAGAAGAAAATGACAGCCATTTGTGGTCTACAGTGAGATGTACCCAGGCCCTTTTCACTATATATATATATATATGTATATATATACATATATATATATACATATATATATATATAGTTTTAGTTTTTAAGATGCCTTTATTGTATTTTATGTGCATGAGTGTTTTGCCAGCAGAGGGTGGCAGAGTCTCCAGAACTGGAGCACAGGTAGCTGAGAGCCACGGTGTGTGTCGTGGGAACTGAATGTGGGTTCTCCGCAAGAGCAGCCAGTGCTCTTAATCACTGAGCTACCTCTCTAGCCCTCCCTTTCAAATATTTATTTACTGGCTTTTCTGAGACAGGATCTCCCCATGTAGCCCTGCCTGTCCTGGAATTTACTGTGTAGACCAGGCTGGCCTTGAAGCTGTGATTCTCCTGACTCTGACTCTGCAGGACCTGGTAGGACCTACAGCTCTAGGCCTGGCTTAGTCTTTAAGATTTTAACAGCCGGGGGGGGGGGGGGAGGAGGAAAAAAAAGATTTTAACAGCCTAGGGTTGAGGTGAGGTCCTCTGGACTGGGGCTTTGGAAAGAGACTTCTTGGAACTTGGTCCTGTGGATAATCAGAGTCAAAACTTGTGCTTTAAGTTACAGCTAAGGCTGCCTTATGGATACAACCTAGTGGAAACTTCAATTGGCCCCTTCTTTTGTTCATTTGCTAAACACCCTTCTGCGCTTTCCCTGCCCCTGGGAGGACTGGCAGCAAGTGTCTGGCTCACTGTGACATTGATGGTGGGGCCTTTCTCATGTCATGTGTACATAGTGAGCTCTAGGACAGCCAGAAAGAGAGACCCTGCCTCAAAATATCAAAAAAACAAAAGGCACAGGGTACGCGCGGGGAGGGGGTGCATGGGGGATGTGGGGAAGGGGATATTTTGGTGTACCACTGTTTATTTTTCATATTCATTTATTCAGTGCATATGTAGATGGAGAAGGCAGAAGAGGCATCAGATGCCCAGGAGCTGGAGTTACAGGCAGCTGGGAGCCTCCCAACATGGTGCTGGGATTCGAACCCGTGTCCTATGGAACTGTTATTAGCTGCTGAGTCATCTCTCCAGCCCCTTGATAATAGTTCTATCCTTGAGCCGGGCGGTGGTGGCACACGCCTTTAATCCCAGCACTCGGGAGGCAGAGGCAGGCAGATCTCTGTGAGTTCGAGACCAGCCTGGTCTACAGAGCTAGTTCCAGGACAGGCTCCAAAGCCACAGAGAAACCCTGTCTCGAAAAACCAAAAAAAAAAAAAATATTTCTGTCCTTATAAGAAGATCAGCCAGGTGGTGGCGGTGCACGCCTTTAATTCCAGCACTTGGGAGGCAAAGGCAGAGGCAGGCAGATCTCTGTGAGTTCGAGGTCAGCCTGGTCTACAGAGTTCCAAGACAGCCAGGGCTACACAGAAAAATCCTGTCTTTAAAAAACAAACAAACAAATAAACGAAAAACCCAGCCTAACAAAACACAACACAGCGGTCATCAAGAAGCTTCAGTGGGTAAAGGAGAGGTGGGTACAGGCCTGGTGACAGTCCCTGGAACCAACGTGAAGGTGAAGGGCAGCACTGTCCTCACAAAGAGTCTTCTGACCTCCACATGTGGGCCATGACAGTCCATCCCCCACATCAAGTTCATACTCCAATACTAGCCACACAGCTAAACAAATAACACAAATATATTATTATATGTATGCATATCAGACTTGCAAAATTAAGTGGTCCAGCCAAGTTGAATAAAGTGCTGTGCAAACAGAGAGCTGACTTCTCCCGTTTCCCTGCTGGAAGGGTAATTCTGATTAAACCACTGTGGCCCTCAGACACGGAGCAGACCCTGTCCAGCTTCTAAGGCTTCATCTGCCTTGTGCATGTGTAAGCTCTGCATCCTCGAAGTCCACATTTTTTTTTAATTTTATTTATTTATTTATTAAGTATACAACATTCTGCCTCCATGTGTGCCCGCACGCCAGAGGAGGGCGCCAGATCTCAGTACAGATGGTTGTGAGCCACCATGTGGTTGCTGGGAATTGAACTCAGGACCTCTGTAAGAGCAGCCAGTGCTCTTAACCACTGAGCCATCTCTCCAGCCCTCGAAGTCCACATTTTAGGACTCCCTGGTGTGTCCGTGTGACTAGACACATTCTGTACTAAACAAGTACAGACCGTTCCCGACAGTGAGGCGATGGCAAACACCTGTAAGCCTAGCAGACAGCAGGCTCAAAGAGAAAGAAAGCTTGTGCGCTCCAAGGCAGTGTGGGCTGCAAAGGGATGCTGGCCCGAAGCAAAACCAAACTTCTGTGCAGTACAGGAAGAAATCTCCTCCCAGCGGCAATGTGTTTGGGCTGTGCCGTCCTGGGGTGATTTCTGTCTACAGGGAGACACGGTGGGAATGGGTAAGCGCAAGGGCACATTACATGAGGGATGGAGCGGCTGCAGGTTAGCTCTGAGGTCTTCGAGGAACAGCTGCATCTGCCATGCAGAACTCTGCGTAAGGCCAGGAGTGCATAGGTGCCATGGGGCTAATTTCTGTGAACCTGAACAGAAACACACCAAGGGAGGATCACAGGACTCAGGAAGCTAACCGAACTTGGGGGACACTGGAAGTCCCGAGAGGTCCAAGACACATGAGACCCCTCCCCAAGGTTATGCACACAGCCACAATTGCTGGGGAGACGACTCTTCCCAGAACTGCCAACAGGAAGTCCAGGGAGCTGCAGGGATGTAAGGTGTCACCCACACGTGGCTCTCCAGTCACAGTGTTGCCTTGAAGCCGCTTGCTTTCCTGTAGGTAAGCCCTCACCATGCTCCCACGGGTGACCCAGTGTGCCATCGCCTCCAGCCAGACCTGGGTGAAACCCTCTTGGCTCAGTTCCCTGTCTAGGGTGAACAAATATCTGTGTACATACTCGGGAGAAGTCACACAACTCCAGCTTCCAGAAGAAAATGACAGCCGTTTGTGGAGATTGGGGTTACTAGGGAGAAATGCAACTCAGGTTTGCCTTCTCTGGAAGGCCTTTCTGATTCTCTCAGGCTCAAGGAAAAGCCCTATCTCCTCTCAGCTCGTATTACCAGGCACCAGAAGTTTATGGCTTAGTATTCCATTCTTCACTCCTCCTCTCAAGGCTGGAAAAAGCAATAAAAGCAAGAAAGGCACTGACGAACCAATCCAAGCTCCTGTGATGGCAAAGGGCACTTCATGGGTGGCACCAAGCTATGTTGACAGCAGAACAGCAGGATCGGGCTCCAGGTCTCTCACACAGTAGGGTGTTTACAGCTAATCAGAGTGTGCTATGTAATCAAAATGACATGGGGGCCAGAGAGAACGTCAGCCATCAAAGAGCACTTGTTGTTCTTGCAGAGGACCCAGATTCGGCTCTCAGCATCCATACTCTGACTCACAGCCGTTGGTAACTTGTTTCAGATCTGACACCCCTCTCCTGACCTCTGTAGGCAGCAGGTCTACCCATGGTGTACATAGTCTATGCAGGCAAAACACGCACACACAATGAATAAACAAATAATAGACTCTTTAAAGGGATAAAAATAACGACAAGTGCTGGGCATGGTGACACACAGCTGCAAGCCAAGCTTCGAGAAGTAGGAGGAAGGAGGATCAGGAGTTCAAGGCTAGCCTGGGCTAGATAGGGAGACCCTGTCTCAAAACACAAAACGTCCTCAGGGATCTTTGTTGTCACCACAAAGAAAAACTAAGGTCTGAGGTGACAGTGTGGTCAATATGCAATGTACACATGTATCGCAATGTACCCCATGAACTCATGGGATTGGAATGTGTCAATAGGACCAAGACAAGAGGAAGAGCTGCAGGACTGTGTCAGCCAGGAGAGAATCCTGTTCCCTAACCTTTTGGAGTTTAGCTTTACCAGATGGGCAGAGAACACTAAGTCTGGAACCCACAGCTCAGGGCCTGCGGAGGAAGCAGATGTCCGTGGATGGCTCTGAGAGGTGAACACAGATGCTGTTCTCTGTGTGAGTGACCTTTGCACACCGGCCATTCTTAGCGTCTGCTAGCACGTCAGCTCTGAGGTGGCCGTTGGCAACCTCTGGCACTCTCTAATGTTCTCAGCTAAGAGGAAGCAGAGCTTTTAACCTCCCTGAAGTTGAGATGTGAGGATGGGTTATGAAGCCACCTAGGTTAGACTTAATCAGGAAACTGGCCTTACTTCTCACAGCAGCGATGTGTGGTTATGGTGGCCCAGAAGCCCAGGATCGAGAGGATGAAAGGCATGATGAACAGCAAGGTGAGCATCTTGATCAGGACCATAAGGAAGGCGTCCCCCAGACAGTTGTTGAAGTCAGGCATGTATGAGGACAAGTAGACGATGGGCCCAAAGCCTAGGCCCATGTCTAATATGACCTGGACCCCTGCTTGGGACCACACGATTGGGTCGTAAATGCTTGCCACCTGAAAAGGAGAGGCGGGTACAACAGGGACGTCAAGATTTGGGAAGGGACATCGTCTCTCGAAGGGAGGAGGTACAGGAGACAGCGGTAGGCAGCTGCGCTGCTCTGCAGAAGGGCCTCACCTCGAGAACCAGCAGGTGTTTCAGCCCATACACTGTGCCCTCCATGTGCAGAGTCCGGAAGAAGAAGCAGAAGATGATGAGATAGGGAAGCAGCACCAGGACATTCAGAACCTGCGCATAGTGCAGCATGTCAATAGGGACTCGTCCTTGTGCATAGCTCAGGGCTGGGGTAGGGCTCAGAAGAGTCTTCATCCAGGCAAGGAGCTTGCAGGGGTAACTGACCAGGCGGGAGAAACAAGCTCATAGCCCTTGAGAATGCCAAAGGCCCAGTGCGACTCACCTTCTCCAAGGACTTGATCCCATTCATTATGAAAACACAAACGAGACACCAAGCCAGAAAGAGGCATATGCCCAGGTTGAAAGCTACAGGCCCTCCGTCCTCTATTCTGTCTGAGGCTTTCAGGGTCTGCCGGTACCAAAAGTACGTGTAGGATGTTGCCTGCTCACATTCGGGATCTGGGAGGACATGGCTTTGGACAGGCCTGCTAGACATGACAAAGCCTCCCTCTTCACCCCCTGCAGCCCCCTGCTCTTTGTGTTGTCCTCCGATTCATGCCCCTCCTTTCTATTTTCTCCTCTTCCCAAGTCTCTTCGTTTCTCCACCTCTCCTTCCTCACCAAAGCTACTGGAGTTCCTTTGAAAGGGACAGTGCTGCCATGGAACAGTGAAGTAGAATATGTGGCTCATGTAGAAGAGGATCCAGGAATTAAACAGATTCTTGTAGGTGTTGATGATGAAGCACACCTGGAAAGCAGGGGAGATATGTCTGGGAGGAAGAGCAGGGGCAGGGAGTGAAGGGTGAGGAGCAGCTGTAGGGGCAGGCTTGGGAAGCTTGGGGCTCCTCACCAAGAAAGCGCTGTATCCCAGTCCACCAAACCAGGGACCCAGGGTCTTCCACAGGTCAATGCTGGCACGCTGTACCCTCTGGCCAACGGCCATCTCCAGGAAGAGCAGAGGAATTCCAATCCAGAACAACATTATGGTGTACATTATAAGAAAGCTGCCTGTGGAGAGAAGGCAGAAAGACTCTGAGAGCCTCGGGCCCACAGAGCCTGTCCTTCCTCACCAACAGCAGCCTCCCTCGGGCCACGGGCTTGAGGCTTGCTGGCTCCACAGTCCATACTGGTCACGCTCCTTATTCCTAGAGGTCTCAGACGCCTAGTTCCCCTCAGCATCCTCCTGGTTATCCCGCTGGCCTATGCTTAAAACCCCGCACTTCTGCTTCTCCTGACCCTGGGTCTCAGAAACATGGTTTCTATTGCTCTCCGGCATCCAGACCCCTCACAGATGTTATCACTGGGAGCCAGGGCAGCCTCACTTCTCTGTGCCTCTTGGGTTCCCAGACTTACAGCCTCCTTTGTGAAGCCACTGTGAGACAAAGCGCCAGAGCTGAATCGGCATCAGCAGGTAGCTCACCATGGCCAGGATGAACTTAAGCTTGCTGGACCAGAGCTGGCGGGGAAGGAAGACGTCACTCTCCTCCCTGCTCATATATCTTGTCTCCTCTGAGGTTGTCACAGTCGCTTCTTTTGTGGCACTGGGCTTAGGTTGTGGGCCACCTCTTACCTGAGCCTCCAAAGCATGGGTCTCCCATGCCCGAGCCTTTGCCACCCGGGTTTCTGAGACTGCGGCCTGTGTTTCCCAGGCTGATACACACCAAGTTAGGATCCCACCTCCCCATTCCTCAGCGTTCGACTCCAGCTCGGAAAGACTTGAGACTGTGGATAAGTTTTGTTCCACCAACGACTCTGAAGCCTTTATTGAGGAAGACTCTGGAGGCGCTTCCTCTAGAGAAGCTTTTGCTTTGGCGAGGGGAGGGGCCCCTTCCCCTTTCTCCGTGGACCTGAAAATCAGAAGCCACAGATCTTAGAAGAAACCAGGGCTCAGTGAGTTCCAAACTCTCTCAAAGGAGAATTTCATTTCTACGCTCTCCACTTACTGACATTCAAAACACATACATCACAAACACCACATACATGCCATGCAAACACATATCACCCAAACAGGCCCTACATATAGCATACAAACACATTGTGTGCCTTAGACAAACACGTATCACATTCTCATATTCTGCACACAGGCACCACACGTGACACACACTCACCACACGTGACACACACAGGCACCACACGTGACACACACACCACACGTGACACACACACGCGCCACACATGACACACACGGGCACCACACGTGACACACACAGGCACCACACGTGACACATAGGCACCACACGTGACACACACATGCACCACAGATGACACACACGGGCACCACACGTGACACACACGCACCACATGTGACACACACGGGCACCACACGTGACACACACGGGCACCACACGTGACACACAAGGCACCACATGTGACACACACAGGCACCACACGTGACACACGCACGCACCACAGACGACACACATGGGCACCACACGTGACACACACGCACCACATGTGACACACATGGGCACCACACGTGACACACACGGGCACCACACGTGACACACACGCACCACATGTGACACACACAGGCACCACACGTGACACACACGGGCACCACACGTGACACACAAGGCACCACATGTGACACACACAGGCACCACACGTGACACACGCACGCACCACAGATGACACACACGGGCACCACACGTGACACACACGCACCACATGTGACACACATGGGCACCACACGTGACACACACGGGCACCACACGTGACACACACGGGCACCACACGTGACACACACGGGCACCACACATGACACACACAGTTACCACATGTGACACACGCACACAGGCATCATCACCCTCACACACATCACAAACACATGCACGCATGTACTATATCCCACATCCATACCATACCAACATGTGCCATACACACAAGCACCTCCCACAAATGCCTTAGCACACTCACACATAAACATGCTCGTGTACACATATGCACCATACCCACCCACCACACACACATTTCTTATATGATTTTTTGACTTCTTCAAATGTTTTAACACAAAGGACAGGGGTTGGGGGAGCTACAGTTAAGAGGCAGAAAGGTGGGAACCACACTAAGGATTTCTGGATATAGAGGTAGACACCCTCCAAAGCTCACAGTGGCTTCCACTAGAAACCTCAGTCTTCAAGAGGCTGAGGCAGGAGGACTGACTGACTTTGAGGCCAGCCCTGGGCAATAGAGAAGGACAGGTAAGGAGGGAGGAGGGGAAAAGGGAGAGAAGGAGGAAGGGGGGGGCTCTTCACAGTGGGCTTTGGTTTGCTGGTTTGTAAGAAAGGGGCTTCCTACGCAGCCCAGACTGGCCTGGAGCTGGTGATGCCCCTGCCTCTGCCATCTAAAGAAAGGCTTAGAAATGCCTGCTTTACCTCTGCAAGCCTTCCCCAGCTGTCCGCGCTCCAGCTCAGCTCCTACAGTCTCAGAGGAGCCTGACCTGCCTCTGTCTCAGAGGGCAGCTGCTCCCACCTCCCCACCCCTCATTTCTTCACTGCCTTCCTCTCTGCCTCCTGCTCCTCCCCCAACTCCCAAGCCAGAGGATGGTTCTGCACCTCATGTCTGGGGCCACTGTCCTCTTTGATCCTTGTGATCCCGCCACTCTGACCTTTGTTGGTTCTTCAAATGCTCCACAGGACAGAGGACCAGAAATGTGCTGGGAAGGGAAACAGAAGTCTGTGAAAGAACAATCGCTGACTCGAGCAAGAGGCGTCAGGTTACTGGCGGTGGCTCAGCTTTAAGGCGCTTGCTACTCAGAAGGAGGATCTGAGTTCAATCCCCGGGACCCACATAAAGGCCGGGCATGGTAGCATGTTTCCATCCCAGCATTAGGCAGATGGAGATCGAATCCAGCCTGCCCCAACTGGTAAAACGCTGTCTTGTGAAACGAGGTGGACAAGTCCTGAGGAAACACACGAGGTGGTCCTCTGGACTACACACAACTCTACACACACACACACACACACACACACACACACATGAACAAATACATACACACATAAACACATATACACACAAAATCATCAATGGTTGCTAATACAAGATGGTCAAAAACGGAATGTCGTGTCCTCCTGACATGATACACCAAGAACAAAAATGAATAGCCAGAATGTATGTAGTCATGAGGAAAATCAGGTAACCCCAAATGTAGGAATACTTTATAAAAAAAATAACTGGTTAAGGGCTGGAGAGATGGCTCAGAGGTTAAGAGCATTGTCTGCTCTTCCTAAGGTCCTGAGTTCAATTCCCAGCAACCACATGGTGGCTCACAACCATCTGTAATGGGGTCTAGTGCCCTCCTCTGGCCCGCAGGCATACACACAGACAGAATACTGTATACATAATAAATAAATAAATGTTTAAAAAATAAAAAATAAATAACTGGTTAATTCTTGTTTAAAATATCAAATCAGGACCCATGGTCCTGCTAGCCTGAGTTCAATCCCCAGGACGCACAGTGGAAGGAGACAACAGACACCTTCAACTTGTCCTCTGACCTCCATATTTTGCTGTGGCATGTGCACATATATACACACAAAATAAATAAATAAATGTAATTTAATTTTTTTGTTGTTGTTTTTTGAGACAGGGTTTCTCTGTGTTTTCTGACTGTCCTGGAACTTGTTCTGTAGACCAGGCTGGCCTCGAAGTCAGCCCCTCATGGAACCTTCTCTAAAATTGATTGCATACATACTCAGTAACAAAGCAAACCTTCACAGATACAAAAAAATTGGAGTACCCACTGTGTCTTATCGGATCACCATGGAGTAAAGTTAGAATTCAACAATACTACTCCCAGAAAGCCTACAAACCCTGGAAACACTACATAAGGGGATCAAGGGGTTCAAATTGGAAAGGAAGAAGTCAAACTTTCATTATTTGAAAATGATGTGATAGTGTACATTTACGATAGACCCCAAAAACTCTACCAGAGAACTCCTACAGCTGATAAATATCTTCAGTGATGTGGCAGGATACAAGATCAACTCAAAAATATCAGTATCCCTCCTATACACAAAGGATAAAGAAGCTGAGAGGGAAATCAGAAACATCACCTTTCACAATAGCCACAAATAACATAAAATATCTTGAAGTAACACTAACCAAGGAAGTGAAAGACCTATTTGACAAGAAACTAAGTCTTTGAAGAAAGAAATTGAAGAAGACACCAATGGAAAGCTCTCCTATGCTCTTAGGTAGGAACAACATAGTAAAAATGGCAATTCGACCAAAAGCAATCTATAGAGTCAATGCAATTCCCATCAAAATCACTACACAATTATTCACAGACCTTGAAAAAACAATAATCAACTTCATATGAAAAAACAAACAAACAAACAAAAAAACAAGAGGATAGCCAAAACAATCCTGCACAATAAAGGAACTGCCAGACTTACCATCCCTGACATCAAACTCTATTACAGAGCTACAGTAATGAAAACAGCTTGGTATTGCCATAAAAACAGAGATGTTGACCAACGGAATCGAATTGAAGACCTGGATATTAATCCACACACCTATAATCACCTGATTTTGACAAAGAAGCTAAAAGTATACAATGGAAGAAAGAAAGCATCTTCAACAAATGGTGCTGGCACAACTGGATGTCAACCTGTAGAAGAATGAAAATAGATCCATATCTATCACCATGCACAAAACTCAAGTTCAAATGGATTAAAGACCTCAATATAAATCTGACCACACTGAATCTGGTAGAGGAGAAAGTGGAAAGCAGCCTTCAATGCATGGGCACAGGAGACCACTTCCTAAATATAACCCCAGTAGCACAGACAATAATAGCAACAATAAATAAATGGGACCTCCTGAAACTGAGAAGCTTCTGTAAAGCAAAGGACACGGTCAACAAGACCAAAAGGCAGCCTACTGAATGGGAAAAAAATCTTCACCAACCCCACATCATACAAAGGACTTATCTCCAAAATATATAAAGAACTCAAGAAATTAGACATAAAAATTTTAAATACCTTAATTTTTTTAAAAAAAAAAGGTGTACTGAACTAAACAGAGAACTCTCAACAGAAGAATTTCAAATGGCCAAAAGATACTTAAGGAAATGTTCAACTTCCTTAGCTATCAAGGAAATGCAAATCAAAAAAACTCTGAGATACTATCTTAGTCAGAGTGGCTAAGATAAAAAATACCAGTGATAGCTTATGCTGGAGAGGATGTGGAGTAAGAGGAGCATTCATCCATTGCTGGTGGGAATGCAAACTTGTGTAATCACTTTAAAATCAGTGTGGCGGTTTCCCAGAAAATTGGGAGTCAACCTACCTCAAGATCCAACATTACAGCTCTTTTGGGAATATACCAAAAGATGCTCAATCATACTACAAAAGCATTTGTTCAACTATGTTCATAGCAGCATTATTTGTAATAGCCAGAACCTGGAAACAACCCAGGTGCCCCTCAATGGAAGAATGGATAAAGAAAGTGTGGCACATCTACACATTACTCAGTGGGAAAAAAACAATGACATCTTGAATTTTGCATGCAAATGGATGGAATTAGAAAACACTATCCTGAGTGAGGTAACCCAGACACAACAAAACGAATATGGTATGTACTCACTCATAAGTGAATACTGGCCATAAACAAAGGACGTGGAGCCGATAGTTCCTGATCCTAGAGAAACTAAGTATTAAGGTGAATCTAAAGAAAAACATATATAGATCCACCTGGAAATTGGAAGCAGACAAGATCATCAGACAAAATTTGGGAGCATGGGGGCAGGAGATAGAAGGAAGGGAAAAGGGGAGGGTTAAGGAGAACTTGAGGAAATGGGATGGTCGAGATGGAGGAAGGACAGAGATGAGAGCAAGGAAAGAGTTATCTTGATTGAGGGAGCCATTATGGGGTTAGCAAGAAACCTGGCTCTAGAAAAATGGCCAGGAATCCACAGGATGATTCCAGCTAAGACCCTAAGCAATAGAGGAGAGAGTGTCTGAGCTGGGCTTGCCCTGTAGTCAGACTGATGAGTATCTTAAATATCACCATAGAACCTTTGTCCAACAACAGATGGGAACAGAGGCAGAGACCAGCATCAGAGCACTGGACTGAGCTCCCAAGCTCCAGTTGAAGAGTGGAAGGACTGAGAGTATGAGCAAGGAAGTCAGGACCATGAGGGGGTCATCCGCTGAGACAGCTTGTCTGAGCTAATGGGAGCTCACCAACTCCAACTGGACTGGGAGTGAACGAGCATGGGATCAAACTAGTCCTTCTGAAGGTGGTTGACAGTTGGGGCAGATTGAGGGGCCACTGACAGTGGCACTGGGATTTGTCTCTACTGCATGTACTGACTTATCAGGATCCTATTCTCTTTGGATGTATACCTTGCTCAACCTAGATGTAGTAGGGAGGGCCTTGGACTTTCCACAGGGCAGGGTGCCTTGCCCTCTCTTAGAATAGGAGGGGTTGGGATGAGAGGGCATGTTGAGGAAGTGGGAGGAGAGTGGGAGGAAGGAGGGAGTGGGAATTTGGATTGGTATTTTTTTAAGTAATAAAATAAAATAAATGATTTTAAAATATTAAAAAAATGGAAAGCGGCCAACTGTGGTGGCCCATACCTTTAATCCCAGCACTGGGGTGGTAGGAGCAGGCAGATCCTATGAGTGCAAGATCAGCCTGGGATACAGAGAAAGTTCCTCAACAGCCGGAGCTACATAGTGAGACCCTGCTTCAAAAAGAGAAAAAGTAAAATGGAATTCATAACAGTAACAATAGAGCATCAAGAGAAGATTGGAGAGATGGCTTCGTGGTAAGAGTGTTTGCTGCTCTTGCACAAGACTGGAGTTCCGCTCCCATCACCCACGTCAGGCAGCTCACAAAGCTGTATCTTCAGTGCCAGGGAACCCGATGGTCACTTCTGGCCTCTGACGGTTCCTGCATGCACATGTCATTCACACTCATAGACATAAAAAAATAAATTTACAAAGAATGTTTTAACATGTGCTCGATGTTGTTAAAGCTCAGTAGGAAGTCCAATCTAATCACAGGGAAATGCTGCTGCTCACCGCCCGGGCTAAAACAATAACAACTCTATGCGTTCACACAGTGTAGAGCAGCCGGAGAGACCCTTCTCCGTCAGTGCGAGAGTACAGATTGTGAGGATCATTTTGAAAAACTATTTGGTAATATTAAACACGCAGAGACACTATCACCTAACCATTTCTGGTGCTGCGGTAAGGTTTACAGCTAGTAACTACCCGCCTACTGGGGCGTGGCCTCATAGACTATTTACCCGGATGCGAGCGCAGCGGGCCCTTCTCTCCTCCGCCTGGGCCCCCTTTTGCTGGTTCGGTTTGTTTGGGATCTCATCTTCATCCATCGTTCAAGCAGAGAATCCTGATTTGTAAGTTTTTTTTTTTTTGGTTTTTCGAGACAGGGTTTCTCTGTGGCTTTGGAGCCTGTCCTGGAACTCGCTCTGTAGACCAGGCTGGTCTCGAACTCATCTGATTTGTAAGTTTTACCCCTTAATAAATGACTGTCTATTTCTTAGTTCTGAGCTAGTGTGGGATTCCTTTTCTAAGCGTCCAATAGTGTGTCCCTTAAGCCTTCATTAGTGCAGCCAACTGAGACTACAGCCGCAGGAACAGTGATAACGAACCTATGGTGGTCCTCCTTTGATGCCACACACCATTCTAAATGCTTTATACCCAGCGAGGTAGATAGTATTATCATGTTACAGAGGTGCAGGCCGAAATGCAAAGCAACCACACACATTTCCCAAGAGTGTGGTTCTCGTGAGGAAGACAGTCAGGATGCCAGGAATAAGAAGGCTCTTAGCCAAATGCAACATTCACCTTCTCATGAGGATGTTCTCGTTGTACTTGATTGCCATAAAGCAGAAAACCACAAACATGAAGCCTGTTGTGGTGGCACACACCTTTAGTCTCAGTCCTTGGCAGGGAGAGGCAGACAGACCTGAGAGCAACGCCAGCCTAGGCTGTCCAACACAGATGTCAATCCATAGTGAGAAAATTAGAAGAATACTTTATTCTTTTAATAAATTATAAGATTGGAATAGAGGAAGTACAGATTCAATGCAATACCCAGCAAAATTCTTCAAAGACCTCGAAAAAACGGTACTCAACTTCATATGGAAAAACAAAAAACCCAGGATAGCCAAAACAATCCTGGGCAATAAAAGAACTTCTGGAGGCATCACAATCCCTTCTTCAAACTTTCCTACAGAGCTACAGTACTAAAATCAGCCTGGTATCGGCATAAGAACAGACAGGAGGACCAATGGAAGACCCGGATATCAATCCACACATCTTCAAACACCTGATCTTTGATAAAGAAGCAAAAAAATATCAATTGGAAAAAAGAAAGAATATTTAACAAGTTGTGCTGGCATAACTGGATATCAACATGTAGAATGAAAATAGACCCATATCTATCACCATGCACAAAACTCAAGTCCAAATGGATCAAAGACCTCAACATAAAGCCAGCCACACTGAACCTTATAGAAGAGAAAGTGGGAAATACACTTGAACGCATTGGCACAGGAGACTACTTCCTAAATATAACCCCAGCAGCACAGACACTGAGAGAAACAATAAATGAGACCTCCTGAAACTGAGAAGCTTCTGTAAAGCAAAAACTACAGCCTACAGCCTGCAGAATGGGAAAAGATCTTCACTAACCCCACATCAGACAGAGGACTGATCTCCAAAATATACAATGAACTCAAGAAATTGGACACCAAAATCACATAATCCAATTTAAAAAAAAAAAAAGGAGTACAGACCTAAACAGAGAACTCTCAACAGAGAAATCTAAAATGGTTGAAAGACAATTAAGGAAATGTTCAACATCCTTAGTCATCAGAGAAATGCAAATCAAAACAACTCTGAGATTCCATCTTACACCTGTAAGAATGACCAAGATCTCTCTCTTTTCCATCTTCCTCACGGAGAGGCAGCTTCGCTTCTGCCTCCCTCCCCACTTCTCTGTTTCCCCCCTTCTCTCTCTCCCTCTCTCTCTGTCCCCCCCTTCACCCTTCCTCCTCCATAACCCCCTGAATAAACATTCAACCTCAAAAAAAAAAAAAAAAGAATGACCAAGATCAAAAACACTAATGACAACTTATGCTGGAGAGGTTGTGGGGAAAGGGAACACTTCTGCATTGCTGGTAGGAATGCAAGCTGGATGTCAGTGTGGCGATTTCTCAGAAAATTTGGAAACAACCTTCCTCAAGATCCAGGAATACCACTTTTGGATATATACCCAAAGGATGCTCAATCGTGCCACAAGGACATGTGCTCAACTATGTTCATAGCAGCTTTGTTTGTCATAGCCAGAACCTGGAAACAACCTAAATGCCCCTCGATCAAAGAATAGATAAGAAAAATGTGGTACATTTACACAATGGAGTACTACACAGCAAAAAAAAGAACAACAGCTTGAATTTTGCAGGAAAATGGACGGAGCTAGAAAACATTATTTTGAGTGAGGTAACCCAGGCACAGAAAGACAATTATCACATGTACTCACTCAAAGGTGATTTTAAAACAAAGCAAAGAAAGCCAGCTTACAAATCACAATCCTAGAGAACTTAGACAACAATGAGGACACTAAGAGAGATTTACATAGATCTAATCTACATGGGAAGTAGAAAGTAGAAAAAGACAAGATCTCCTGAGTAAATTGGGAGCATGGGGACCTTGGGGAGGATTGAAGGAGGAGGGGAGAGGAGCAGAGAAAAAAATATAGAGCTCAATAAATATCAATTAAAAAGGTATAATAAAAAAGAAAAAGAAAAGGGCAATGCAGAGCAAATCAGAAAAAAATAGAGGAAGTATCTGGGCGGTGGTGGCACAAGCCTTGAATCCCAGCACTCGGAGGCAGAGGCAGGCAGTTCTCTCGAGTTTGAGGCCACCATTGCCTACATAGCTAATTCTAGGACAGCCAGCGCTACGCAGAGAAAGAAAGCCTGTCTTGAAAAAAATAGAGGAAATATAGCTGTTGCCAATATAAATTAATCTCATAATTTGGAGCAGCAACAACAACACTGAGGGCTGAGGAGAAGCCCTCAGTACAAGCTTGAGGACCTGAGTTCACATCCCCAGAATCCAGGTGAAAGAAAACAACAAATAAAACTAGAAGGAATGGTATGATAGAAAGCTATCCTAGTACTGAGAGGGGAGACAGGGGTCCTGTGGGGAAGCAGTGAGATGTCTGTTGGGCAGCTAGTCTAGCTGAACCCATAAACTCCATCTGTCTCAAAAAATAAGGTGAAGTGTGACAGCCGGCACCTCATATCAACCTCTGGCCTGCAAACATGAGCGTGCACACACATACTTACATATTCTCTCTCTCTCTCTCTCTCTCTCTCTCTCTCTCTCTCTCTCTCTCTCACACACACACACACACACACACACACACAATCACCACTACCAACAACAACAATTAACAAAATCAGAAATGAAAATAAGGACACAACAACAGACACCTAGGAAATCCAAATCCAAAAAATCATTAGGCCATACTTTAAAAATCTGTGCGCCACCAATTTGGAAAATCTAAAAGAAATGGATAATTTTCTCAATAGATACCACTTATCAAAGTTAAGATCAGATAAACAATTTAAATAGATCCACAAACCCTAAGAAAATAGAAGCAGCCATTAGAAGTGTCCCAAGCAAAAAAGCCCAGGGCCAAGTGGTTTTAATGTAGAATTCGGAGACTTTCCTAGAAAAGCTAACACCAATACTCCTCAAATTATTCCACGAAACGGAAACAGAAAGAACACTGCCAAATTCATCTTATGAGGCCACAGTCACACTGACACCCAAACCACAAAAGAGTCAACAAGTAAAGAGAATTACAGTTCAATTTCCTTTATGAACATGGATGAAAAAATATTCAGTAAGTACTCAAAAACCAAATTCAAGAACACATGAGAAAGATCATACACCATAACCACGTAGGCTTCACCCCAGAGATTTAGGAATAGTTCAGCATATAAAAATCAGCCAATGTAATCCACCATATAAACAAACTATTACAAGGTCATCTCACTAGATGCCAAAAAAAGCTTTTGACAAAATCAAACACTCTTCATGATAAAAGTCTTGGAAGAGCAGCAAGTGTTATTAGCTGCTGAGTCATTTCTCCAGCCCCTTGTTAACACTTTTATTTTCTTAAGATCAGCCAGGCGGTGGTGGCACACGCCTTTAATCCCAGCACTTGGGAGGCAGAGGCAGGCGGATCTCTGTGAGTTCGAGACCAGCCTGGTCTACAGAGCTAGTTCCAGGACAGGCTCCAAAATCACAGAGAAACCCTGTCTCGAAAAACCAAAAAAAATAAAAAAAAAAAGTCTTGGAGCGATCAGGGATACAAGGGACATACCTAAACATAATAAAGGCAATATATAGCAAGCCTATAGCAACATCAAATTGAATGGAGAGAAACTCAAAGCAATTCCACTAAACTCAGGAACAAGACAAGGCTGTCCACTCTCCCATACATATTCAGTGTAGTGCTTGAAGTTCTGGGAGGAGCAATAAGAGAACTGAAGGATCAAGAGGACACATATTGGGAAGGAAGAAGTCGAAATATCACTATTTACAAATGATAAGACAATATACATAATCAGCCCTAAAAATTCTACCAGGGAACCCCTACAGTTGATAAACACCATCAGTGAAGTGACTTTATACAAGATTAACTCAAAACTATCAGTAGCCCTCCGATATACAAATAGGCTGAGAAAGAAACCGAAGAAACAACACCCTTCACAACAGAACTCAAATATTACAAAATACCTTAGGAAAACTCTAACCGAGCAAACAGAAGACTTGTATGACAAAAACTTGAAGGATTTGAATGAAGAAATTGAATGCAATATCAGAAGATGGGCAGATCGCCCATGTTCATGAATCAGTAGAATTAACATGGTAAACATGGCCACCCTACCAAAAGCAATTTCCAGAGTCATCAAATTCCAACACAAGTCTTTTTTGTTTGTTTATTTGTTTTTTGTTTTTTCAAGACAGGGTTTCTCTGTGTAGCTCTGACTGTCCTGGAACTAGCTCTGTAGACCAGGTTGACCTTGAACTCACAGAGATCCATCTCCTCTGCCTCCCAAGTGCTGGGATTAAAGGTGTGTGCCACCACTGCTCAGCTTCAGCACAATTCTTTACAGACCTTGAAAGGACAATACTCAACTTCATATGGGAAAGAAACAAAAAATCCGATGTTGGGATAATCTTTTTGTATACTGTGTAAAGATGTGTCTCTGTTTTATCTCACCTGCCTAAGACACCTTCTGATTGGTTTAATAAAGAGCTGGATGACCAGGGCTGGAGAGATGGCTTAGAGGTTAAGAGCACTGTTCTTCCAGACGCCCTGAGTTCAATTCCCAGCACCCACATGGTGGCTCACAACCATCAGTAGTGAGATCTGGCGCCCTCTGCTGGTGTGCAGGCACACATGCAGACAAAACACTGTATGCATACTAAATAAATACATCTTTACCAAAATTAAAAAATAAAAAGCTAGATGACCAATAGCTAGGCAGGACTCCCAGACAGAGATAGGGAAAGAATCTGAGGTGAGAGATTCATCAACCAGATGAGGAGGAAATCAGATGGACAGTCCTGAGGAGAGATAACAATCCACATGGCAGAATCCTGGTAATGGAAGATATGGAGCCTGAACCATTCATCTTCTGTAACCTGGCAAGGCTTTCAATGGTGGAACTGAGACACTTCCAGCCTCAAAGCCTTTGACCTACAATTTGCCCTGCCTGCAAGATGAGCTGGGGCAATGGTGGTGCAGAACTTGTGGGAGTGGCCAACCTATACTGATGATCCAGGAAGCTGGATAGAGTCAAACACAACTGGCTAAAAAAAAAAAGACTCAATGAAACGATTCCTGATGATGTTCTGCTACACTGGCAGATCAGTGCCAAGCCCCGCTGGCATCAGAGAGGCTTCTTCCAGCAGCTCACAGTAGCGGGCACAGAGACCCACAGCCATTCATTAGGCACAAAGCAAACCCAGCTTGGACATCTCCATCAGGTCCCTCCCCTTGCAGCTCAGGAGAAGGGGAGGAGGAAATGTGGGAACCAGAGGGTTTGAGGACACTGGGAGACCTGGCCTGCAGAATCAGCTAAGCAGGGCTCATGGGGGCTCACAGAGACGGAAGGGGCAGTCACTGAACTGCATGGACTCTCGCCAGTTCCTCTGCATAGATGTTAGGGTCATTGGGTTGGCGTTTGTGTGAGACCCCTGGAAATGGGAGTCGGGGTGTCTCTGACTCTTTTTGCTTGCTCCTGGGACCGTCTTCCTGTACTGGGTTCCTTCATCCAGCCTTGACAAGAGGGTTCATGCCTGGTCTTATTTCATCGTTTTGCTGTTTTCTGTTGATGTCCCTGGGAGGCCTGCTCTTTTTTGGGGGGAGATGGAGGAGCAGAGTGGATCTTGGGAAAGTGGGGGAACTGGGAGAACTGGACGGAGGGGAAGCTTCAGTCGGGTTGTATTTTATGAGAGAAGAATAAACTTAAATCATTTTCTATCATTACTTCTTTTTTGGGGGTGGAATCTTCTTTGAGGCGGGGTTTCTCTGGGTAGCTGTCCTGGAACTTCCTATGTAAACCATGCTGGCACTGAACTCTGAGATCTGCCTGCCTCTGCATCCCGAGTGCTGGGATTAAAGGTGTTTCCTTGTTTCCACTTTTTCTTTGAGGATGAGAGTGGGATGAACAGAGAAAAAGAGTTTCTTAACGCATATAGAAGTTAACCAAGTTGAATCCTGGGAAATGTAGCTTATTTGGTAGAGTGCTTGCTCAGTGTACACAACGCCCTGGGTTCTAGCCTCACCATTGCTCAAGAGCAGGCGTGATGGCCTGTGCCTGTAATCACAGTACTTGGGGGATGGAGATGGGAGAACTTGAATAAAGACCTTTGTTATCCTTAAATACACAGCAACTCCTAGGCCATCTGGGCTACTTGAGACCCTATCTCAAAAACTAATCGATTTGGGGCTAACAAAATAATTCAGTGGGTAAAGGCTCTTGAGGCCAAGCATGGTGATCTCGGCTCAATTCCTGTACCCACGTGAAGAAAGAAGAGAACCGACTCCCACACGGTGACCTCTGACCTCACACATGTGCCAGGACACATCCCACAGACTCACGTCCACACAATCCTCAGTCAATACATGCAAAAATCTTTTAAAGTTAAGTATGTTGTGGAAGCAGGAGGCTTACCTATGGCAAACAAATCTTCATTACTACTAGATATTTTGCTCATACCAAAAATGAGACACACCTCCAATTAAAAAAGAAAAGTTAGGTTCTCAAAATCTATGATGTTAGCAGTGGCCCTGACTCTAGTGCATCAGATAATAATAATTTAATAATTTAAAAATAATTTAATAACAGGTGAGTCGTGTAATAAGGGGTAGATTTGCCTTTCTTGAAGACATTCAAAACCGGCTGCTACAGAATAGAATATTCGTTTGACTACATAAAGGTGTGTTGCTTTTGTTTATGCTGAATTTTTTAAACTTATTTATTTATTTATTTATTATGTATACAATATTCTTTCTGCGTGTATGCCTGAAGGCCAGAAGAGGGCACCAGATCTCATTACAGATGGTTGTGAGCCACCATGTGGTTGCTGGGAATTGAACTCAGGACCTTTGGAAGAGCAGTCAGTGCTCTTAACCACCGAGCCATCTCTCCAGCCACCATGCTGAATTTTTTAACTAAGTAAGGATGTGTTGTTATCTCTCCTTGCCTGCCTAAGGCACCTGATTGGTCTAATAAAAAGCTCACTGGCCAATAGCTAGGAAGAGCAGGGGATAGGTGGGGCTGGCTGGGAAAGAGAAAAGCAGAGTCAGTCAGTCAGCTAGGAGCCAGCCTGCCAAACGTGGAGGAAGCAGGGACGCAGGATGGAGGTATGCAGATGAGGTAAATGAGCCACATAGATTAATAGAAATGGGCTAACTTAAGTTAAAAAAAAAAAACTAGAAAGAAGCCTAAGCTAAGGCCAACCGTTCACAGTTGATAATAAGTTGCCATGTCCTGATTTGGGGGCTGGTGGCCAAGAACCCCTGCTACACCCAGCAGAACTGAAAACAAGTTCTCTGAAAAATTCAGTCAGCTGGAGCTCTCGGTGACAGAACTGAGCGTTGGATTTGATTCTTCGTTTACTTTATTTAACCATTTCTCTGTTTAGTACTCGGACCTTGTAAGTGCTAGGCAAGCAGTCTCCCATCGAGCTAGCCACAGCCTCAGCTCCAGGGTTGAGCTCTGGCCAGCTGACCACTTCTGATACCCTCTGACCTCCTGCCATGTCGTGCTGGCCCTTAAGCCTCCTCAGAAACACCCCTTCCATTCATGTTACCTCCTTTCCCGGAACTATGGCCTCGGAAAGAAAAGCAAGCTGGTGTCCTGGCTCCTCCAAAACTGGAAATGGCTGTGCCCAACAGGCTGGAAATGAAGCCGGGCTTCACCCGAAAGACCAGCCCTGAAGGGCAGTGGCGGCTGTGGGCGAGCCCTGAAGAGGCTGACTTGCCGGCTCACCTCGAAGAGGCAGGCAGTTTTCTGCGTTCGGAGGGAGAAGAGGCGCGGTGACCCTTGACCCCAGGACTCCCTCCCTGCACCCTGTGGAGAGCCGGGGACTGCAGAATGGCTGCCCCTCACACCGACCTGGCTGGCTCCCCTCGCCCAGGCTCGGGATCCCTGGTAAGCTCTCCAGGGGCTGATGAGGTGAAAGGGACTCAGCGGCCTGGGCTGGAAGCCTAGCTACCTCCCCAGTCCTCGCATGAGGCCGCTCCCACCTCATGAGCCCACGAGGCCTTTCCGGCCTTCCGGCCGTTTGGTGCATATACGCCATTGCTGCCCTCGCGCCTCCTCTGCAGACAGGCAGTCCCTTTCCCTCTCGGCCTAATACCCCATGTGACAGAAATGGTGCGCTGCAAGTCTTGACCCTCCTCTCATTTATTCCGTGTGAATCTCAAACCGCTGATATTTGCTCTCTGACACTCAAATATTTACTATACTTGCTACTTTGAGTAGCAGAATCAACATTCACCGCACCTGGCCGATAGGGCTCTAAGGATAGCTGCTGAGAACTGAAAGCGATCAGATGGGACACCGGTGGAGAAGGGAACTCGCCGCCCCGTCTGATCATTGCGGTCCACCCCAGATCCCACGTGGGAAGGGAACTGTATCTTCCAGTCTGACCATCAGAGTAGTGGAATAATGGGCCCAAAGGAATGGGAATGTCCCCTTAGGAATCTCATGCTGGGGAAAGGTGCCAACCAGAGGGTGACTTGTCAGACACCTGATGGTTGAGGCCCGGACAGCCATGGGTCAATGGCGGTCAGCACATCTTGGACGGCTTAGATATGCATATCGCTAGCCCCTATCTGCACTTGAGTCTCACGTCAGGAGCCTGAGATGGACTGGAGGGCTCACTGGCCTATTTACCTCTTCCTGATGGGGCCACCATGAATAAATCTCTTTTCTGCTTTCCACTATTAATTTGGTTCTTCTAATTAGCTTACTGGACAAGTAGCTGAGCCTGGCTTGGGGCACAACCTGTGACAGGAAAGATCCAGCCGCCAAAGTTACACACACACACACACACACACACACACACACACACCTCATTCAAAATAAGGGAGCCAGGCATGGTGGCGCACACATTTAATCCTAGCACTCAGGAGGCAGAGGCAGGTGGATCGCTGTGAGTTCTAAGGCAGCCTGATCTACATAGAGAGTTCCAGGACAGCCAGGACTACACAGAGAAACCCTGTCTCTAAAAACAAAACAAACAAACAAACACAGGGGACAGCTTCTGAGGAATGACATCTGATGTTTGTCCTTCAGCCTCCAAATGCAGGCGTGCACTCATACACACGTGAACACACAGCACATACACACACAAAAGAAGAGAGGAAGGAAGGAAAAGAAAGAAAGAAAGAAAGAAAGAACTGAGCCTTGTCTCAGAGACAGAGAGCTGCCACCTCAGAAACCTAGGGCTTGAAGAGGAAGCTGGGTGATAGGAACCCTCCCCCGCAACTGTAAGTCTGTGAGGAACTGGGGACCTGACAAGCGTGAGGGACACATGGGCACATCATAGGAAAGCATGGAGATGCTGGGTGTGCTGAATGACACCCCACTGCCGATGCCTGGTTCTTCTGGCGCCTCCTCCCCTTAGGTTTCTCCACAGAGGCAGGAAGTGCCACCTGAGGTTCACTTCCTGCATTGCCTAGCTGCTCTCCTCACCCCTGGGACTGTCACACCTCCTCCGTGGCACTTTCACTTCCTCTGGTGTCCAACCCCAGCCCTCAGCACACGGGAGCACCTGGTCTGGTGGGGGGGAGACCCAGAGAAAGACACACGCACACACACACACACACACACACACACACACACACACACACGACAGAGGCCGAAGGGACAAAGAAGGGCAGAGAGAGTTAGTTCAAGGGCTGTGGGTCCTAAAGAGAGGACCGCAAGATGCAGGGGCGGAGCCAGGGAGCAGTGAGGTCAGAGTGTCTGTGAGGTTGGCCTCTGCAGAGACAGCCCTGAGGTTCCAGGACCCAGATGTGGGTGGAAGTCCTTCAGGAGGCCCTGTGTACCCTCCCTGAGCCATGGACACCTGCGAGGGACCACCCATTGTGTCCTTGGTACCCACGTATCCCAAGGTGCTGCTGTGTGCCCTGTGGAAGTCATGAAGAAGACAAGAACTCAGCTGACAGTCACTAAATGAAAAGGGCTGGGTGGAGCTCCACCCCTGGAACTTCCTCTTTCTCTGCCCTCTTCCTTTGTGCCTCCTTCTCTCAGTCTCTCTCTTTCTCCGACCATTATCCCCCTGGTCCCCTGTGGCCAACACCTCTTCTGTCTGGGTTCCTCAAGCTGGTCGCTCCCCATCTAGGAGAAGATGTCAGCCCAGGAGAGTTGCCTCAGCCTCATCAAGTACTTCCTCTTCGTTTTCAACCTCTTCTTCTTTGTGAGTCTACTCATGGCTGCCCGGCAGGGATCCCAGGACCACGGTGGCCCTGGATTGCCCGCAAACCCCTCCTCTTCTCTTCCCGTAGGTACTAGGAAGCCTGTTTTTCTGCTTTGGCATCTGGGTCCTCATTGACAAGACCAGCTTTGCATTCTTTATGGGTGAGAGGGCTGGGCAGTAAGGGAGGGTCTTCCCGGGGTGGACCTGACCCAGAATCCCACCTAAGGCATCGCCTGGTATCTCCTTTGCCCTAGAGGCCCTCAGGAGTTACCAACTTTTCAGAAAGGGCTCGCGTTCTAGTGGCCCATTGGCCACCACCACTGTGCCTCTATGCCGTGTCTTTCCTAGCAGACAGGTTGTATAAACTGGATGTCGTGGTGCGTGCCTACCATCCGAGCTCCAGGAGGTGGAGCGAGGGGAGCAAGAGCCTCTCCTTGCCTACACAGTGGTCTGGAGGCCAGGCTGGGCTATGTGAGAGACAGGCTCAAAAACAACTGTAACGAAATGAGGTCATGATTCCAAACAATAACAGAAATGATAGACATTTCACAAATACTTCCTGTGTCACATCTTGGGCTGGGGCTCACAGACCCTCCCTTCTTGAGGTTCACAGAAGGGAAGTGTCTTGCTAGGTGTCACACAGCAGGGAAGGGGAAGAACAGAAATAAGTTATAGCAAGGAAACTACTGATAAAGGGGGAATCAGATCCATAGCAACGCAGTCAAGCGGGGGGGGGGGGGGGGGGGGGGGGGGGGCGCACGCCTTTAATCCCAGCACTCCGGAGGCAGAGGCAGGCGGATCTCTGTGAGTTCAAGGCCAGCCTGAGTTACAAGAGACTATCTCAGGGGAAAAAGAAAAAGAAAAATTTAGGAAAATTATCTCTAACCTGGTGGCCCTCCAAGGGTTTAAGAACTGGATCCGGTGACGCTACAGAAATGAGACCACAAAGTCTGGAGAAGTGGGACCGAGAGCCAAAAAACAGGAGGAGGATCTCAAAGGGAGAAAAACTAACTCAGGGCGGGAGATAGTGCTCTGCCGGGATGGCCAAGTGCAGTTGCTATTTCCCGGCCCAGCCCTCACTGACGTTCACCGCCTCAGGCTTGTCCTTCATGCCACTGCAGACCTGGGCCAAGGTCCTGGCAGTCTCCGGTGTCCTCACCATGACCCTGGCCCTCCTGGGTTGTTTGGGGGCTCTGAAGGAACTGCGCTGTCTTCTGGGCCTGGTGAGTAACACTGCCCATCACCAATCCCGTCCTGCCCCTCAGAGGCCTCTTTTCACCTGTCACCTCCCTCTCCGTTCTGTCCTCAGTACTTTGGAATGCTGCTGCTCCTCTTTGCCACACAGATCACCATAGGGATCCTCATCTACACTCAGCGGACCCGGGTGAGTTTGCCAAGGAGGCTGAGGGGCAGGAGTGGGGAGAGAAACAAAGGCAGGTGCCATCAACCAGGAAGACAATCAGAAAGACACGGGGACGGAGGCAGAGAGGGAACGCTGGCGTGCTGGTGCATGTGGTCCTGGCTGTCACAGGCTAATATTACTTAGCCCAGGAGACCAAGGCTGGTCTGGGCAACAAAGTGAGGCCACGTTTATTAAAAAGGAAGGGGCCATGTGTGATGGCATACATCTTTAACCCCGGTATTCTGGAGGAAGAGGCAAGCAGATCGCTTTGAAGACAGCTTGATTTATACAACAAATTCTAGGGCAGCCAGGGTTCCATAGAGAGACTCTGGAGAGGGAGGGCAGGATGGAGACAGAGGCAGACATAGACTGACTTCTGCCTAGCATTTATTCTGCTGGTGAGTACTTGCCTAGCACTCATGAGGTGGTCGGTTTGGTCCCCAATCCTGGGTACCTGTAATTCCAGCACTTAGAATATAGAGTCAGGATGACCAAGAGTTCCGGACCAATGTGGGTTATGCAGGAAAATAATTTTATTCCAAAATAATTTTATTTCAAAATTAAATCCAAACTTTAAAAAAAAGAGGAAGAAGCAATGGAGGTGTAAAAACCCGTAGAAACACTTCTGAGATTCTGAGGAAGAGAGCACTGCCAGTCATTCGGGAAGAAACCCAAGGGTGCAAGGTTGGGCTTCTGGGGTGAACACCATGGGCGGAGCTGGGGCAGTCGGACGACTCATTCCATCCTCACCTACACCTGCTCAGCTGGAACGAAGGGTGCAAGAGCTGGTGCTGCAGACGATCCAAGGTTACGGCGCCAACCTGGGTGATACAGCGGCTGAAGAGAACTGGGATTACACGCAGTTCCAGGTGTGTGAGCTCCCTACATCTCATGTACCGGACAGTTAACACCCTGGACTCTAACATGGTTCTAAAAATCTCAGCGTCAGCCTGGGGTTTAAGGAGACTGTGCCTCTGTGTGGGCCGCGGGTCACCTGTTCCCTCTACTCTGCTTGAGTACCCCCAGATGACAGCATCACTGTCCCCATGCAGCTAAGTCCCCAGACCCTTGGCCCTGACGTTGCTCCACCCCAGTCCCAAAATTTCTATGCAAGGAACTCCCGTCCTCGCATGTAGTCCAGCTCTGGCATCCCAAGACAGAATCACACGGGTGACCCACAATCTCAGGTTCACCTGATGCTCCTCTGCAGAGCCCAGGTCACCTTGGCCCCATCGTATCTTACATACCCATCATTCCTACCCGGCTCCCAGGCTTGGCTGCACATCTACAGCCCAGACCCCGGGTCCCTGACTCTACCCCCCATCCCATCAGCTGCGCTGCTGCGGCTGGCACTCTCCCCGGGACTGGATCAGCGCCCGCATGCTGAAAGGGAACGAGTCTGAGGGGCCCTTGGTGCCCTGCTCCTGCTACAATTCCACGGCGACCAATGACTCCTCAAGCTATGATAAGCTCCTCTCCCAGAACTTGGGGACCGCTGACCTATGCACTCTTCCCGCAAAAGCCCCCTACTACCGCGAGGTGAGACGGGGACCGGGGAGGTGGGCCGTCGGTGGGCGGGACCTCTAAAGGGCAGAGTCTTTAAGAAAGCGGGCAGGGCTTGGAGGGTGCGGCTAGATCAAAGGCGTGGCCCAAAGAGGTCAGGAGAAGCGGGTCCCCCAGAGTGACTGTGGCCCACACAAGCATTAGGATTCTTGAACAGAAAGGTAGGTGGGGCCCTCTGATGTGATCCAGGCCTACATGCGGCGTGAAATCAGGCGGGCTTGGGAGGGGGCAGCTACAAGAAAAGACAGATCAGTGGGCGTGACAACTCAGGAGCAGGTACCTGGAGGTCGGAGGTGCGTGAGCTCCATGGGGCGGGGCCCTCAGAGTGAGAGGCGAAACCTAAACAAGGGCGGAGAGCCTGGACCATGGGCATAAGGCAAAGTTTGGAGAAGTCGTGTTTGGATACCTAGGCATTGGGCACCTAAAAGAAGATCTGAGGGGCTCCTGGGCTTGGGGATGAATTCCAGAAGCAACAACACCTTTATACTTTTCCTGTAATCCCAGGGTTGCGCACAGAGCCTCCGGAAGTGGCTGCACAACAATCTCATCTCCATAGTGGCTATCTGCCTGGGAGCTGGTCTTCTTGAGGTGACTTGGCCCCGCCCCCATCAGTGATTGGTCTGTCTAGATGTTTTCCCGTTGCCGAGGAAACGCGTTTGCTTTGCGTCTATGGCAGTTCTAACATGGGATGGGGCGGAGACCTGGCTTCTGCAAACTCTTGGCCATATGCGTGCTCTGCCTGCTACCCTCTCCCGCAGGTAAGCGAGATGGCGCTGTGTCTGCAGCTACATCGTAGATCGCTCAGCAAAGAGCCGGTGCTGCCGCTGCAGGGAACCGAGGGTTCGAGCCCTACGCCTGGGCTGAGCGCTGATGGCTGCAGCGGGCGCTGGGGCGGGCTTAGTAGTAGCAGCGGACGCAGCAGCACCCCATGGGGCAGCTGGGGCATGGCGGGTGCCTGCCCGACTTGGGGGGACAAGGCACAAGGCAAGCTACCCATGGCTTTGGGGCCTTGGCCGTTGTGGGATACGGACGAGGAGCAGCCTGAGACGGAGAGCGCAGACGCTGAGGTGGAGGTCGGGGAACACGCAGAGACGGCTGCTGCGTCTCCAGAATAAAGGACGCTGGGCTTGCCTCTGAGCTTTCAGACTGCCACTGGGCTGCCCGCTCTCAACGCCACCAGTCACTCTAAACTGTGCACGCCCACTTTTTTCTTCTCCTTTTGCCTTTCCCTTCAGGCACCACCCCTTCTCCAACCCTGAAACACTGTCTTTCTCTGCAGCTCAGCTTCATGACGCTCTCAATATTCCTGTGTAGAAATCTGGACCACGTGTATGACCGGCTGGCCCGGTACCGCTAGGCCTGGCCCGTCGCATCGGCGCCCACACCTCCACGCAGCCAGGAAATGTTTCCTTCCTGGCTGGTCTTAGGGCTAGTGCCTTGGGACTCAGTCCCTGGGGATCCAGGTGTCTGCCCTTACCGACAGCCATTACTTCCCCCACGGGGCCAGGGCCTTCCCTCTGTCCCCGGCTTCCTTCCCCATCTCCTCCGCTCCACACCATCTGTCTGCCACCTCCCACACGATACTTCAAATAAATCCCCTTCGTTTTGGTAAAAATAGCTTTATTCTCCTTCGGAACATAAACCATCACTCTTGGGGAAAGGAAGGTGGCAGGGTGGTCTGAGGCTCACTTAAAATGGGGAGGAGATTAAGAAGTCCCACCCCACTGCTTGCCCTAGCTGAGATAACATTAATCTTAACACTGTATAAATATCTCCTTATATTAAGAAAATTCAGGCCCCACTTCATTCTGCCCTAGCTGGGAAGCCGTTATCTTCAATTGTGACATCCCAGATCAGAGAAAGGATGTGGGGGAGAGGCAGACATGGGGCGGGTGGAAAACAGGAAGGGTACAAGGCAATGAGTAATGTCTCCCATACTGCCCAGCTCCCTTCTGAAGAAGAGAACAGAGGGGCCCTGTAGAACTGAGAGACCAGTGCTGTACCTGTGGGCATGCACTCCTGTCCCCAATCCCTGATGCCCAGAAGTGAAGTGTCCTGTCAAATGCTCCCTGTGAGGTCAGCTCATTCAGCTCAACAAGTTTTTGGGTTCCCCTCTAATAGGAGACAGCCCCCCTTGCTCAAGCTTGAAATCAGGCCTCTTTATCATGGCCCTCTCTCCAAATGAGGGGTACAGGGAGAGCCAAAGGGTCCTTCCTGGGAAGGGGGTGTTCTGAGGACAACCAACAGCGGGGCCCCATCAGTCCCTGACCAGGCGGTAGATATGGTGTTGGGCTCCGTGTTCACTGGTGGAGACCTCAAAGACGTAGGCCGTACACAGCAGCAATTCCTGAGTGTCCCTGTTGGTCACCACCTGCCGGGAGAACGGGCTCATGCTGTGGTGGGGTGGAGTGGGAGTCTCTGGGGGGGCTGCCCTGCCCACCCCAGCATGTCACCCGGAGGATGGTGACATTCTCCTGCCCCTGTATGTCACCCGGAAGATGGTGACATTGTCCTGCCCCTGTATGTCACCTGGAGGATCGTGATGTTCTCCTGCCCCTGTATGTCACCTGGAGGATGGTGACGTTCTCCTGCCCCAGCATGTCACCTGGAGGATGGTGACGTTCTCCTGCCCCTGTATGTCACCTGGAGGATGGTGACGTTCTCCTGCCCCAGCATGTCACCTGGAGGATGGTGACGTTCTCCTGCCCCAGCATGTCACCTGGAGGATGGTGACGTTCTCCTGCCCCTGTATGTCACCCGAAGGATGGTGACGTTCTCCTACCCCAGCATGTCACCCGGAGGATGGTGACATTCTCCTGCCCCTGTATGTCACCTGGAGGATGGTGACGTTCTCCTGCCCCTGCATGTCACCTGGAGGATGGTGACGTTCTCCTGCCTCAGCATGTCACCTGGAGGATGGTGATGTTCTCCTGCCTGCCCCAGCATGTCACCTGGAGGATGGTGACGTTCTCCTGCCTGCCCCAGCATGTCACCTGGAGGATGGTGACGTTCTCCTGCCCGCCCCAGCATGTCACCTGGAGGATGGTGACGTTTTCCTGCCCACCCCAGCATGTCACCTGGAGGATGGTGAAGTTCTCCAAGACACTGTTCATCATGTAGCGCTCGGGCAGCTGCCGCAGCTTGTGCAGGAAGTTAACCAGGTACTCACACATGGGGGAGCGCATCAGGCGGTACACAAAGCGCCCATCCTCCAGCTGGGCCCGCTCTGTCTGGGAGTGGGAAGCACAGTGGCCACCCTAAGAGCCAACCAGAGTTCCCCCAGCACCCCACCTTTAATGACCGGGGCCTCTGAACCTGCAAACTAGGAACCTTGTGTCTCCTCAGAGTCACAGTCTGAGACCTCAGTGACCTCCAAACACCCCAATACCATCTCCAGACTGCGCCTGAGTCCCCAAGTCCTCTAGTCCCTCCCCACTCCAGATTCCTAGCACACCCTTAAGACCCTTTTTCATCTTGTAGATTCGATCTCTAGACCTTTCAACCCTTGAAATGAGCCCTAGTTGTGGCTTTTAGTTGCTTATTCCTGTTTTGTTTGAGACAGGGTCTCGTAGGCCAGGCCAGCCTGGAACTCCCTACGTTGCTGAGGATAGACTTGAAACTCCTGATGAGTGGTCTACATAGTACAGGGCAAGCATTCTACCAACTAAACTACACCCTCAGCCTTCTGTGGAATTAGTTCCTAGCACGTGCGCTGAGCCACCAGAGAGGTTGGGATGGCCCTCCCTCACCCTGCCTGCCCACATGCCTGTGACCGCTTACTCCGGATGCAGGCTGTGCTCTAGCCCCAGGGCCTCACCTCCACTTTCTCCACCACTTGCTTGCCAAAGGAGCAGACCTTGGAGGAGCAGGTAAGTGTCATGAGCTCCCGGCTCTCATACTGGCTGCTCACTCCATAGAAGCCACCGCTGCCTCCGCTGGCCCCTGCCTCTTCACCACTTGGGCCCCAATTCAGGTCCGCCTGAAAGACAAGATGAAGAGGCCCAGTTCAACTGAGGGAAATCCGACAAAACCGGACCTCCAGGCTCCCTGAGCTGCACCCACTTGCTTCCCCCCACACACACCCCATGTCAGCTTCCAAAGTCCTGGGTCGGCATGAGCAGAAGACCCACCCACAGTTCCAGGAAGACTAGAGATGGAGGGTGTTGGGGATAGTATTTTTAGGTGTGTGACTTTTTTTTATGCTGCATTTGATTAACTGTGAAGCTGTGATGCTTTGTCTGTCTAAAACACCTGATGGTCCAAATAAAGAGCTGAACGGCCAACAGCAAGGCAGGAGCAAGGGTAGGCAGGGTAAGCAGGCAGAGAGGATAAATAGGAGAACTGGGGAAGGAAGAGGAACCAAAGAGGACACCAGGGACCAGCCACACAATTATACAGCAAGCCATGGAGAAAGAAGTAAAGAAAGGTATACAGAAATAGAGAAAGATAAAAGCAAATGTAGTTGGGATAATTTAAGAAAACTGGCAAAAAAAAAAAAAAAAAAAAAAAAAAAAAAACAAGCCAAGCTAAGGCCGAGCAATCATAACTAAGAATAAGCCTCTGTGTGTGATTTATTTGGGAGCTGGGTGACAGGCACCCTCAAAGAAAGAGCTTAACATCATACAACAGTAGGGGCCCCAGAATAGTCCTGACTCTCACTATCTAGGAACCCAGGAGCCAGAAAACCCAAGTTTTTTGCCCGAAAGCTCCTAGCTCTAGAGTTCAGTCCAAGCATAACAGTGCAAGCTTATAATACTAGCACTTGGGAGGCTGATGCAGGAGGATTGTGAGTTTGAGACTAGCATGATCTATACACAGAGAAACCATGTCTCTAAAATGGAAACAAAAGAAGTGGCTGGGGTTTAAGACAAAGAAAATGAAATTAAAAAAAAGAAAAGGACTTTTAGCCTCTGACAAGGGCCTAGTTACAAGCAGGCAAGTTACCCGCAGCAACTGATCAGAGTTCTATATCCTCCTGTAACCTCCCACCTTCCCACCTCTCACCTGCAAAAGCAAGTGGTTTGACTCCCCACTATCAGCAGAGCCAGGGTCCTCTCCTTCCCGCCCATCCTCAGGAATGCACCTGTACCTGTCACTCCAATGTCAGGCAGGCAGATGTGACCTGACTTTAGCTGCAGCTCTTTGACCAGGACACTCACCTCAGAGGCCTGACTCCACCCGCTACCCCAGCAACAGGGCATTTTGATGCAGGGCAAATCCCTATTCCCGTGGCCATGGTGGCATTTGGGAGACTGAGGCAAGGGGACTGCTGGTTGGAGGTCAGCCTAGGCTATAACGGGAAGGGGAGTCTGTCTCAAAAAGCCTCAGCCACGTGTGGTGGTGCACACCTTTAATCCCAGCATGCAGAGGCAGGTGAATTTCTGGACTTCAAGGCCAACCTGGTCTACCAAGTGAGTTCCAGAACAGCCAGGGAGAAAGGCCTTGGCAGCCCCCCACTCCATCAGGAGCCAGGCTCCAGACAGCCGGAGGAGCCTCTGAAGCCTATGGTCAGTCTGCAGCATCCCACTCACAGCCCTAGCAGGCCTCCACACAGAAAGCTTAGGGGCTTTGTTGGTTTTGTCTTTTTCCAGGATTGATTTACTTTTATTTTATATGCATGAGTGTTCAGCTGCACGTATGTCTCAGCAACACACATGTGCAGTACTATCAGAGGCCAGAAGAGTTCCTTTGGAACTAGGATTACAGATACATGATGGTGCTGAGAACTGAACCCGGGGCCTCTGGAAGAGCATCCAGGGCCCTTACCTGCCTCTACCTCCCAAGTGCTCGGATTAAAGGTGCACACCACCACTGCCTGGCCCTTTACTTATTTTTTGTTTGGTTTGGTTTGAGCTAAAGTCCCCCTAAATAGTTCAGGCTGTCCTTGAACTCTGTATTCTCCTGCCTCAGAGTCTTGAGCACTGGAATGACAGGCATATACCATAATACAAGGCTCAAAAGCTCTACAGACAGACACCCAGGGAAACCAAACTGACTGAAACCCCCTATGGACTTCCTTTCAGGACCAGACACCCTCATCAGTCATGCAACCGGACACACACCAGACAGCTGGTTACGGACAGCCCTCCATGTCCCCACGGTCTGCCCCACTCAGCGCCATCATAGAGCAGGCCTTAGGAAGCACTGCATCCGACTGACATACTCCCCCAGATAGTGTTTTATTATAGAATATTAGCTTAAGGTGTGCCACATTCGTTTATGCCGTGGAATAGTTGTGTAATGATGCAAAGTTGTGCTGCAGTTCTTTATGTTGCATTTGTTTAAGTCTGTGCAGCTGTTACTTTGCCTGTCTAAAACACCCGATTGGTCTAATAAAGAGCTGAACGGCCAATAGCAAGGCAGGAGCAAGGATAGGTGGGGCTGGCAGGCAGAGAATAAATAAGAGAAGAACTCTGAGAGAAGAGGGTCAAGGAACACTAAAAGGAAGCGAGGAGGACATCGGGGTC